TATGAGGATGTTAGACTCACTGACTACTCATCTTACCTAGTGAAGTACTCAGGGTGAAGAAAACTCTAATAGATTAGTTACACATGCGTTTAATTATGAATGACTTCAGGAGGGTAATTCTAGCACTCAGTGTACAAATCCTAATCAAATAGTGTATCTTTGAGTTTTCAATAAATGACACAGAGAACTTCTGTCATTGTGGGTCTTTATTTTCTTTACTGCTTTCATAATCAATGCAACTTCAGTGCTGTCCTTAGCTTCAGCTGCACAAACAGCACTGCTGGTCTCGTTGTAATGAGTGCAACACAAACACTTCCTGTAAGCTGGTGTGGGTCAGAGACCAGCCTCTACAAAGTGACAACAGCGTGCGACGACAAGCTGAACACAGCAGGCTGAAGAACAGTCATGTGGGCTGTGGGCAGCAACTGAACACAAAGCAGACATCACAAAATAATGTTTGGTTCATGTGCAGAACAGAAAGTTTGTTTTTCACTTCAAGCGTCGTTTTGAAACTGCAAACACTGAAGCTGACGTAACAAACACTGGGAAGTCCTGCTGCTGCTTCCTGTGTCGTGGCGTTAACGTGTGCAGCTGAGCTCCTCCGTTGTTTCCCAGCTTTTCTTTTGCGTCGTTTGGATTAAAGAAGTGAGATCAAACATATTAACTGCACCCTTATCTGTGTCCATGCAGATGCTAGCAGGTGCATTTGTTAACCTTTGAACGAATGGATTTGTTATTAATCTTCTAACTGACAGACGAAAGTAAATGAAAGTGTGACGTGTTCAGTTTCAGCCATCGCACACAGTCCTGGTTCATGGCCCCACACAGCTGCGAACATGTCTATAGGTGTTTAGACTCGCTAAGTCAGGGGATCTCAGAGGTTTGAATAATTCAAATGTTTTCAAAGAAGTTCCCTGTCCTGCCCTGATTTGCAAGTCTAGCACTTCCTCCTCTCAGCCTGCTGCATGCTGTGTGTGCTGTAGGTCTGCAGGACCCTACGCTCTGCCACGTGCACGTACCTGCACGTACCTGCACGCACAGCTGGCTTTTCCACTTCTACCCCACTGCATCACTTTGTCTCATTTGACTTTAACATCCACAGCTGCAGGAAAGACATGAACATCCGAGTGGAGATCATCCTCAAGCAGAGCTGCTGCTAAATCAGGGAGCCTTTAAACAGTCAAGAAGGTGGTGAAAGCAAAGGGGAGAGTGATGGAGGCAAAGGCTAATGTAAATGAATTCAATTCAGCTTTATTTACACAGCGCCAAATCACAACAACAGTCGCCTCAAGGTGCTTTATATTGTAAGGTAGACCCTACAATAATACATACAGAGAAAAACCCAACAATCATATGACCCCCTATGAGCAGCACTTTGGCGACAGTGGGAAGGAAAAACTCCCTTTTAACAGGAAGAAACCTCCAGCAGAACCAGGCTCACGGAGGGGCGGGGCCATCTGCTGCGACCGAAATGAAGAGTGAGAAATAACTGTCACAGCATCAGATGCAGGCAAAGAGATTTGTTTTATAATCTGACTTCTTTAATGGTTTTATCTGTTTTACGAGGATTTACCAAAGCAAAAGGAAAAGGCGCGAGTGAGGGAGTTAGAGGAACGAACGAACAGCAGGAGCCTGTTTGCAAACAGCCCCACAGCAGCTCTCTGAACGTCAGATCCACTTCATGTTCAGTCCAGCTCAAGTCTCGGCACCCGACACGTCTTTCGGTTCGTGTTGCTGAAAAACGTTTCCGCAGCACGCAAACGCTGCTGCCACCACGCTTCATGCCAGGTGATGACCACTGCCTGATTTCTTCCTGACATGACATTTGGCATCAGACCAGGTTCTGATCAGACTCCTGTGCTTTTAACTGAGGCGTGGCTCCTGTCTTTCTCCAAGGAGCGGTGCTGGAGCTTTGTCAGGGTGAACATTGGCTTCGTGGTCACCTTGAGTTCCTTTCTAAGAGTTCTGGTTGTTCCAAACTGCTTCAATTCCTGGAGGATGGCTTCGATACCCTTTCCCAGATCTGTGCCTAAATACAGTCCTGTCTCAGAAGTCCTTGGACTTCATGGCTTAGTGCTCCAACATGCACTGTCAACACATGTCCTATCAGCCGGTGGACTCCAGTCAGCTTGTTTTGATAGCTGATATAGCTGATGATGAGTGTCATGGCAAAGGCTGTATGGGTACATACAGTTTTTACATGTATGCAACCTCTTCAGGCTTTGATATCTTACATATAGATTGATGAGCTTCTTCAATTGGTGATGCAAATTACTACAAGTATGCAAAACATTTCATATGGGCTCAGTGTGTGGGCTTCAAACCTGTGCAAAGCCCAGTGTTAAGGGAGGAACTTTAACAACATGAGAAGCTGAAGTCAGACTATTCAAATATCAGGTGGAACATCGTTTGCAAACGTCCGTACTTTCACAACAAAGAGGGTTTGTTTGTTTCATCTACTCATTCAGTTCTGACAGCTGTGAGCTGAGATAAGCTTCGTGGTCTGAACTGGGGAGGGGCAGTGTGGTATTCACCGCTGATAGGGTCGTGTTTTCCCTTCAGCCTATCACGTTTGGTTATTGAGCTTTCATACAGGACGATGCGCCCTCTGTTATTTTCACATGAAACTGACACAGTGATCCCTGAAAAGCTGCAGGTCGGTGAAATAATCAGACTGTGCTGGATTTATTTTGTCTGGTAAGATAATCACGAGTCTGAACACAGCTGCGCTACAACAGCCGCAGCTTCATCCATCGCCGCTGTCAGTTACATGACGTGCAACGTTTTAAGCTTCTTGTCCTCGATCATGCAGTGAGGGAAGCACCCAGCAGGGAAACGCTTTGCTGTCTGAGTACCAAACAGAAGCAGAAGAGAGAGTATCCAGGATGATGACAGGTGGTGGGAGGAGCCAGTCGCTGTGCAGGACTCTGAAACATGTCGGAGAGTGGGGACCAGTGGAGGGTGCTGAGTGGACCCAGAAGGAAGCAGCTGCTGTGTGTGAACTGTGGTTTTGCTGTTTGTGTGGGAGACAGAAAGGCTTCCTCTGCTGTGTTCAGTCTGGACCTGCTCTGTGGAAATGTAGCACAGCTTTTACTTGAGTAATGTCACTAAACTCTCCACACTTCTTTTCTCCCACCTGGCTGGAGCTGATCAGCTCGTCCCCGCCCACACAGCCCCAGTCTCATGCATGCAAGTCTCAGCAGCTCCATGAATGTTTCTGTGCTCTAAACAATCTCACAGACGCCTCCGGGTCAGCCTGGCTGGCTCACTGCTGAGGACTGCTGAGACCTGAAGCAGGCACTGGCCTCTGGTGTCAGTCTGCCAGGCGTACTGGTGGATCTCTAGATCCAGAAGGTGGTATTCCACAGAGGGGAAGCTCCACTTCTTTCTCCAGGTGAGCTCATAACCCACAGCAGCTGTCTGCTGGTGGCTGTGGAAGCAACACATGCACAGCATGGAGAGGAGGGAGCTGAGTTTGCTAGCTGCTCTTTGTGCCGTCCTCACCTGTGGTCCTGAACCAGTACAAGCTGAAATCTGTGTCCACGTGTCTGGGCTTCTTCTCTCTGCACACTGGGAGTAACTGGGAGTAACTGGGAGTAGACCTGCTGCACACTGAGAGGAGCGAGCTGCTTTGGTTGAGGTGCTTCAGGCCCTCTGGTCACCTGGCTTTTGCATCAGGTAGACCTCAGGGATGGGACCGTGGCTTCAGAGGAGGTGCTGGAGAAAACTGCAGGCAGACAGGAAGCGTGTGCATCTTTGCCTCGTTTGTTGGTGTTCCAGAAATCAGTGCTGTGTGAGAGCAGAACTTTAAACAGTGGAGAGCTGCTTTCATGTTGCTGCCTGTGCCTTTCTGAGAAGCAGGAAGCTTCGTCTGCCAGTAAACTTCCTGTTCTGCAGCTCTGTTCACCCTCTAGTGTCAGAAAGGAGCAGATCGTGAGGCACGTCAGAGGAACCCAGCGAACCACAAAGCTCTCACTTCCTGTCAGGAATATATTGTAGATGAAACCGTTTCAGACCTACTTTTCCCTTCAGTCAGCTGGCAGCCTGTTTATGCAGCTGAAGGCCGTCCAGTGACTCTTTTAAGGCTCCGTCTAAGAACCAACAAAGAGTGCACACTAACGTAAGCTACACAAGCGAACATGATGCAAAGTATAAAGATGACAGGACAGCGGAGCCAGAAACCAGCTTTTATTTCTGAGACTTCATCGGACATGTGAGAGCTACAAAAACTGTGATTCTCAGAGCCATGAAAAGCAGGACAACAGCAACATGTGTGAAGAAAGGATTCACGCAGACAGCGAGGATGGACTGAAGGTTTTAATCCCAGCAGGAATAACTGGGAGAAACGTTCAGTTTCCAGTTAAAACACTGGCTGTGAGTCTGAGAGCAGCTTTTTAAAAACTGCCTGCTGAACGACTACATCACCTAACGAGGTCATTGTCACCATATTTATGCTGTCATCGGTGCACGTAGGGCTGCGCGATATGACCACAATCTCATATATAAGACATTTATCGTCCTGGCAACGATATAAATCACAAACATGTGATATTTCCTGTGAATCTCGTGCAGCTCGACTGGCGTTTAGTTTTTCCAGCTGGGCGTCCTGTAGCTGCAGTCGAGTGTTTCAACCGATGCATGAAACATTTTGTATAACATAAGTTGTAACGGCCGCTGTTTTCTCTCAAAGTTTCAGGCTGAGGTTTATTTTTAGCACCTGACGGCTCTTTTTTGCTTCTCCTCCGTAAATACTCTGCATCTTTCACGTGATTCGGTTTATTTTGAAAAGTCTCAACAGGATCTTGAGCTTTATTGTGAAAGGCTTACATGGAAAACAAGCAAGCGGACAGCGGAGCCACGCGATGGTGTTACCGTTGTTGTTGCTAACAACAACATGTAAAAACAGGCGCTTGTCCGTCTGTAGTGTGGTTATGTTATATAAGAGAAAGAGAGAACTTAAGAAATTAATACTACAGTGACATCAGAACCATGAACAAATATGCAGTAAACAGTTTATTTTGCGACACCACGAAACAAACGATAGCGTGATAGGAATCGACAGAGGTTTTTACATCGTCATACACATGGTCACATCGAACAGCCCTAGGTGCAGGTCTGGCTGCTGCTGACATGTGTGTGATGCTAACTGTGGTCCACGAGGTCAACAACAAGAAGGAAGCCTTAAAATGAAGAAGCACTTGGTCTTATGGCACAGGGGGACGTCTTTGCTTTAAGGACCGACAGCATGTCTGTGACATACACAGCTGATGGTTCATAAAGCAGGATGGTTACAGCACGGTGGGCCAGGCAAACCTGACTGAACGGGTCACCTTCATGTGCAGAATAAAAGCAGTAAAGCTGCTGAGGCTGAGCCCTGGACTGAGGCGGATGCTGTTTCCCGTGTTTGAATCAAGCTTCATCTTATCTTTAGTACGGTTAATAAATACTCATCATCACCAGTCTGCTTTGCCATTCAAACACAGCTGCTGGCACCAGTAGTAAAACCAGAATCACACACACTACAGTTATGCTGTGTAGCCCACAGTGACACATCAGTTAGGACTCGGACATCTTGCGGATCATGTAGTTGAGGATGCCTCCATGCCGGAAATATGCCAGCTCCACATCCGTGTCAAATCTCAGGCGCACTTGGAATGTTTTCCCCGTGTCGAGCTGTGGGAGCAGGGAGAGAGCAGGTCAGCGTCACATCCCAACACGCCTGCAGCAGCGTGCCGTCTGTCCGTACCTTGATGTCTACGACCATCCTGGGTGTGAGCAGCTCAGGGATGACCACGGTGTAGCGCTCTCTGCCGGTCAGACCCAGGCTGTCGGCCGTGTCTCCTGGTAGATACTCCAGAGGAATCACTCCCATCCCCACCAGGTTACTGCGGTGGATCCGCTCATAGCTCTCTGCCAGGACAGCCTTGATCCCCTGCAAACACAAAAAAACACCTGAGACCTGCAAACAACTATGTGAGCATACAAACAAAGTAGTTTGAGTTTACCAGCAGAAAGGGGCCCTTTGCAGCCCAGTCCCTGGAGCTCCCGGAGCCGTACTCCTTCCCTGCGAGAACGAGCAAAGGGATTCTGGACTGCTGGTACCTGTCTGCAGCATCGAACACGTCCAGCTGAAACAAGAACACAGATGCTCCAATCATAAGATACGCCCGGCAACAGCACTGCATCTGTTACCATGGTCAGCAATGCCACACATCTGACATGGTCTACACTGATGCTTTTACACAACAGTGATAATTAACCCTGTGAGGTCTGAACCCTGCCCTACTTTAGATTACTGCTGCATTTTATTTCACAGCTTCATTTCCAAGAACAAACCTAAGAGCACCGTTAGAGCTACTGTAACAGTGTTTAATGAATCTACATGCAGCTTGTAGTTCCTGATGTCAACCAAGAACCAGAACGCACACTTCCTCATAGCTCACTTATTATCGAGATAAAGAGTCACGGCACAAAGCTCTGATTTTTCTCTTTCAGGCATAACCGTTGATATAAATATAAATATGGGAAACATATAGATGTGTCTAACATTTGCTATGTGCAGTTATTATCAGCTGGGTGTTGGTGGCGTTCCTGAAACAGCTGCAGGGTACCGTTAGGGTTAGGCAGGTACTGTTAGGTACATGCTGCCCTCTGGTGGACAAACTATGCAACCTCAAAACTCGTAAACAAGAGTGTCCGCAGGCTCTCCTTCAGTTTATTAATATCACAACATTGACTCAAGAGCATCAGAAAACCTTACATTTATGATCTGCTCTCCACACTCCTTTAGATGCACTGACGGTCATGTATATAGAGCTGTAATAATATTAGCTGCTTTGTAATTTAAATAAAGCAAATGTGCTCGAGGCATAAATGAAATGTAATTTAACATCACAGTTTAAACAGCATGTGTCTGACTTCTGTTGAGAAGTTGAAGTTGCATAGTTTGTCCACCAGAGGGCAGCATGCAGCCCTGACTGTGCTGGCTCTAATGTGGGTCCAGTCTGAGCTGACACAGCCGTGTGCCTTCTTCTTATAAACAAGTGTTGCACAACGATGCAGCGCGAGGCTCCCTGTAGCTCAGGGGTAACGAGCTCCTACCGTTTCTCCTGTCGGCAGGTGGATGGTTTGTGGCGCCTGCTTGTTGAGAAACTTATTGAAGAGACGGATGTTGGCAAACGTCCCTCTGGCCATAACGGCGTCGTTACCTCGCCGAGAGCCGTACGAGTTGTAGTCTCGGGAGTTCAAACTGCCAAAAGAGTAGCAGCAGAAAATGTTGATGGTTTCACACCGACAAGTGTTTTTCATCAAGAGATCATATGAAAACTGTCTGTGACGTGGGCTAAGTACCATTATTATTCAGTAAAACGTGTGCGCCGACTCACCCCCTGCTGGTCAGGTAGCGTGCTGCGGGGCTGTTCCTGGCGATGTTCCCCGCAGGTGAAATGTGGTCGGTTGTGACCGAGTCTCCCAAGTTCAGAAGCACACAGGCATCTGTGATGGAGGCAGGAGGCTGCAGCTTCCTGGTCTGAGTTAATACAACACAGTCAAGACACGTCGGGTCAGACAGCAGGGTTTCCTGTGTGCAGCGGGGACACGCTCGCCAAACCTCAAAATGTCTCACTGTCTTAACTAAGGATGTGCAAGACTAGTCAAGGAGCTGTCACTTTGTTTTAACTGAAGCCGAGACATTACTGTGTCATAAATGTTATGCACCCGTCTTCCACCAGATGGCGTCGTTAGTGAGAAACGGCACGAATCAATGGTTAATCCATCTTTTTGTTAACGGTGCAAATGAGCTTTCTCTGAAAGGTGGATGGGCTCCAGACAGGGGGCGGAGGTCATTCGGAAGGGCTTTAGAGTAGGCCCACCTCTCTGGCTAAGGTCACCTGGGTCAGGTGTTAGAACCGGACGTGTCCTACTGCAGGGAGGCCCAACCAATAACACGACGGCCTCCTCCTGACAGACTGTGGAGCTGTGGTGGAGCACAGTTCACCACCACAGGTCTACACCCTACACTAGTGGGGCCAATTGCTTTATGGAGGCAAGTCCACTCTTCTTCTCAATGAAGGCGAAACATAACCTTTGAATAAGTCTGCAGACGAACGTTCGTGCACGGCATGTACTTACCAAACCATCAAAGAAGGGCGGAGACTTGATGTAGGTTGATTTGGGGTCCCAGGTGTAGAGTTTATCAGAGGGAGCAGCCAGCGAGTTCCAGCGTTCATTCACGTGCTGCAGCGAAACCACAAACACAGCACAAGGCTTTCTGTCAACGAGACATATCAGCAGTGCACGATCTCCCCAACAAGCGTAAGATCACACTACCTCGATCTTCTCATAAACCTCTTTGAACATGGATGGGATGACAAACATTCTCTCCACAGCCTGGATTTCCTCTCGAGTGGGCCAGATGTCCCTGAGGAAAACATCTTTGCCTTCAGAGCTCATCCCTACAGGGGATAGAGAAAGAAAGAGGACAGCAGTCAAACGTCGTTTCAGCTGATTGTGATAATAACCTAAACCATATACAGACGCTTCAGCTTAAAGCTCATCAACACACTTAGACCTGCTGGAAGTGACCTGCAGGTTTAAACCCAGAGCGCAGGTTGTCTCGTCTCTTTCTTTCAAATATCACTCCTATTTATTTAGACCTGTCTTTGCCTTCTATAACTAAAAGGCTTCAGCTTAGTATCTCAAATGTTTTGGGTTAGTAAGTGAAAGCTTGGAGATCAACTCAAACCTGTTTCAATCAGTGACTTACCAATGGGCTCATTGTCAAAGTCTATCCTCACTGTGCCAGCCAGTGCATAGGCGATGACGAGCGGTGGGGAAGCCAGGTAGTTGGCTCTGGTGTTGGGATGCACTCGTCCTTCAAAGTTTCTGTTGCCTGAAAGGACGCCTGCAGCGATCAGATCCCCCTGAGGCACAAAAACACCTCAGTCACATGACACACAGAAGGCTCATGGAGACTGAACACGGAGCTGCTTCAAGGCAACAAAGAGTGTGTTAGGAATGAATAAACGTCACAGGAGGAAGGAGGAGGAGCCTCCGATGTAAGCCGCTAGTACCTGGGTTATGGCCTCCACCACTGGTTCTGGGAGCGGCCCACTGTTGCCTATACACGTCATGCAACCATAGCCAACAACCTCAAAGCTGGCAGAAGACACAAAGGGATTATTACACAGCTGCACGTCACACACTCTGTCACTCTGTCACTTCCTCAGATGTAAACACAGGAGTACCAGTTCTAGGTGCAACACACGGGGGCGCCACAAACGTGCAGCACACAGGGGCGCCACACGGGGGCGCCACAAACGTGCAACACACAGGGGCGCTTCAGAATCAAACAGCCGTTATGAAGAGACATTAACGCAGTGATGCTGAGCGCTCAGAAATAATCAAAGAAAAAGTGGCGTAACTCTGAAGACCTGAAGTCTTCTGAACGTAAACAACATTACGTTCAATCATTGAAACGTTCACTGATCGCTGTGCTGATGTCCTGCTTTAAACACTGGTTACACTGGATCCTACCAGGTGAGAGGTGTGAGTGAAATAACAGTCAGTCAACACAAACGTGGGATCGTTCCAACAACAAGCAGCTTACCCGAGCTGAGACAGGTAGTCCATGACGCCGCTCTCTCTCAGGTAGTAGGTCACCACTCCGCTGCCAGGGGACAGGCTGGTTTTTATGTACGGCTTCACACTCAAACCACACTCGACTGCTTTCTTTGCCAGGAGTCCTGAGATACGAGAGACTCTCATTCAGTCACTGTGTCAGAAATCTGTGTGACAGTGAAGGGCAGCACACCCACCTGCTCCCAGCATGACGGATGGGTTGCTAGTGTTGGTGCAGCTCGTGATGGCAGCGATAACCACCGAGCCGTGACTCAGCGCGTACTCCTTTCCGTTGAACTGGAAGGGGGCTGTAGCGTTGTGGTGCTGCGGAGCCACCTGGAAGCCCTTGAAGCCTTGCTGAGGCGAGAATTATAGAAAAGAACGATTTCAGAGCTTTTATGTGACAGACGTGTCGGTTAGCAACAAGCCTGTACCAGCACACGAGTGACTCCTGGTAAGACTGCACTAATGAGCCCCCTACAGCAGCTAGACACCTGTGCACCTGTGCAGGCAGGTATCACCTCATGCTACAAGCAGTGATACTGACCAGAGCTAATGCTGAGTGTCAGCAGCCTCCACCTGTAAATGTAGGAACGCACCTTTGCTTCCAGACAAACTTCAAAATCTTTCTTCATGTCAGACACGGGAACTCTGTCCTGAGGTCTTTTGGGACCGCTGCAGCAGGGAACCACCGTGCTCAGATCCAGCTCTACAACCTGAGGAAGACGGACACATCCAGCTTTATTCTTGTTACATTTGCATCATGTCACAATTTTCATTAAAATCTATAAAAGACAAAACAGACAATGACCTGTGATCCCTGAAAATAGACTTTTCTGGGTTCAGCAAACATAAAGGAAGTCAGAGGCTGACCTGAGTGAACTCTGGATCCTGGGAAACATCATTGTAGTCTCTGAAGATGGCCACCGCCTTCAGGTACTTGGTAATGTATGCTAACTTCTCTGGTTCCCGTCCTGATTTTAGACAAACGAGTCGCATAAACAAAAAGAATCGCGTGCAATGAATGAATGCAACCTTTGTGCTGACGTCAAACGCCACCAGCTCACCGGTTTGTTCCAGATACTGAAGGCTGACATCGTCCACGGGGAAGAAGGCTGCCGTGGCGCCGTACTCTGGGCACATGTTGGCGATGGTGGCTCTGTCAGCGATCGACAGCTGAGCCACACCCGGGCCGAAGAACTCCACGAATTTTCCTACCACGCCCACCTGACGGAGGTGCTGCGGGCGCATGCAGAAAGCACAGCTGTGACGTCAGAGCGCTGACTGCTGTTGGAACAGCTGCATCAAACGCCCTCCTACCTTGGTAACAGTCAGGACGATGTCGGTGGACGTGATGAACTTATCCGCAGCGCCGTGCACCTTGTAGCCCACCACCTCGGGGAGCACCATGCTGATTGGCTGACCCAACATAACAGCTTCTGCTTCAATCCCACCCACACCTGAAGGGGCAAGATTAACCTTTACTTAGGACACCAAGCTCACACCTGATTTTTCACTTTCACACCATTACAAGCAGCTGATGCAAATGTTTCTGAGTGATCTTACTGCAAATCAAACAATCTGCACGTATGTGTGGATGCATAACTAAAAACAACACTATTACTACTAATAATGTTAAAGTGTTGAACTGTCAGAGGTTAAACAACATAATGCACATTCACAATGATACAAAAAGGCAACAACATGGGCTAACAGTGCAGACGCTGCTCTGCAGACGCTGCTGCTGCTCCTACAGGTGTGACCTCCAGCCCCCCGTCTGCATGAAGCAGTGCTGGACACACTGTGGCACAAACCCTCATCAGCATCGGCTGAACAGTGATGAGAGACGGACCATCACAACACTTCTAGATGCAGGTCTGTGCTGCAGAGAGATGCAGACAGAGTCAGCGAGTCCAGTTTCCTTCAGCATCAAATGCAACCTGTGACAGGCAGAGGTCTGCAGAGCCAACGACACGACTGAGTCCAGTTTCTGAGAGTTAACAGCTGTGTGACGGCGGCTCACAGGACAACAGCTTCAAGCAGCTTCATAGTGGTCGTAGTGAGAACGTCTCAGTTTCTACTGTTTGACAGGACGAGCTGCAGAAAGAAAGCCAGACGTCAGAATAGGACACAGTTCCACAGTGTGCGGCATCAACATGGAGGAGGAAGTGTGATGGTCTGGGGCTGTTTGCTGGATCCAGGGTTGCTGACTGAACCAAAACAGCTACCACAGCGTTCTGCAGCACCATGCAGCACCCTGCGCTCCGTCAGGGCTTCATCCTACAGCAGGATAACGACCCACACATCAGTCCAAGCTGTGCCAGAACCAGTGTCCAGCACAGCCTCCAGACTGAAAGCCCATCGAGCTGGTTTGAACTGAAAGCAAAGCAGCTACAAAGGTCCACATTTATGGAACTTCTGCTCCAGATGTGGGAGAAGATTTGATTTTTGTTGTAGACAGAAGCCACGACTGCGTTCAGCTGCTACATCTGCCAAAGGAGGCGACTGACGAGTCAAAGGTTAGAATCTGTTTGGGTTTAAAACTGACTCCAATTACTTTGTGCTGTGCTTTGATTTCAGAGTGCAACGAGACATTAATCATTTTCAATGAAAAAATGTGTGTATTCTAAAACCTCTGACTAGTAGTGTGTATTTCATGAGGTGAGGATCCTGCACAGAGCAAAAGAAATCAAACAATAAACACGGCAAAAACAAACTATGAGAGAATCTAGTTAATGATGGAACAGAGAAGCTGCATTCATACTGGGACCAGCAGCAGCCTACAGCAGCATAACTGCTGTAAAAGAGAGGGAGACGTCTTACCCCAGCCCAGGACGCCCAGACCATCGATCATGGTGGTGTGAGAGTCGGTGCCCACCAGACTGTCCGGATACAAGAGCCCATCCTGGTTAAACACCACGCGGGCCAAGTACTCCAGGTTGACCTGGTGAACGATTCCTGAACCAGGAGGAATAATTCGCATGTTTCTGAAGGCTTTGGAGCCCCACTGCAAAGACCAGAGATCATATTTATGGACCGAACCATCAGACTTACATGGACACACGACAGGTTCATACCTTTAGAAACTGAAATCTTTCTTTGTTGCGGTCAAACTCCAGATCCTGATTTTTCTGAAGGCTGTCAGACCTGCGTGAAGAACAACAAGTGAAATGAAGCAGTGAATGAAACACCTATGAGCTGACACACGGTGGGAGAAAGGCGAGAGATCTTACTTCCTGTTGAAGTCCACTTGGATGGAATGATCAATGACGAGGTCAGCGGGACAAACTGGATTAATCTTTTCTGGGTCGCCACCGAGTTTCATCACTGCGTCACGCATGGCAGCGAAGTCGACCACAGCAGGAACACCGCTGCGTGACACAGCACAGGCTGGTCAGGGACCGCTCAGAATGTGATGTCACCTTCTTAAACATCACTAATAAGACCCCAAAAGCATGTGTTTGGAGTCTGTTACCGTAGAAACCTGCTGCTTACACAGGGAATAACTTTGCTGTTGTTAAAGTCCAGACTGCTTTTAGCAGATGCTGCTGCAAACTGCACTTAAATCCTGAGCTGGTTATTTCACTCAAAGGTTCTTTTTGCACCTGAGATGATGTAAACAGGGATTTCACAACACCTGCAAACACCTCGTGACACTACGTTCTTCTTACAGACCAGCGTTACTCTGATGACATCACTGACACACCAGGTGCATTAAACGTATTAAATGTGTGAAAGTTAAAACAAGACACTGACACTCAAATTGTGAGGAAAAGACATACGTGAAGTCCTGGAGGATGACCCGCGCCGGCCTGAACGGCACCTCCACAGTCTGGAACTGCGTCTGCTTCCAGTTCAGGATGCTTTCCACATCCGAACGCTTCACTAGAAACTCATCACAGTTCCTGACGGCAGATTCCAGGAGGACCCGGATGGAGAACGGCAGACGGTCTAAGGAGCGCATGTGCAAGTCAATACTTCTCGGTTGTGTGCACCGACGAGATGCTTCATGTTAGCATTCAGTGTAGATGTGCTCCTACCATATCTGGGATCTCCAAGCTTGGATAGATTGAAAAACTGCTGCTCTGGGTGTTTGGGGTCCAGAGGCTCAACGATGTGCTCAAAAGGATTTTTCACAGCTGCCGACATCTTTTCCTAAAAGAAGATCAAAAGCCTGACTTACATGATGCAGAATAAAGAAGCACCTTTCAAATATGTCAACAACATACAAACCAAATGAAGACTGACAGGAAGGCAGAGCTCGGGCCTGTTACTCGTTCCCTAACGGCAGGTGGATCTGCTTGGATTCAGGGTTAGTGGTGGAGGGTCGTTGACCTCGTTCTATGAACTTTGCATAACTCAAGTTCTTTAACAAAAATGTGACGCTGACTGTGTGTCAGTCACTTGCAGCTCAAACACACATTAAGTGAAATTCAGGTTCTGGGGCCTGTTAGAAAGAGGCGTTATCTGTGTGAAAGGTGAAAACAGCGCATGCCTGCACATGACCACGGACTTGGCTGGTTAGCTGAAGTTCAGGCGAAACCTCTGCTGTCAAGTGCAAAGTCAAACTGCCACGACAGTGACAAAGACATCAATATCCGGACAGCTTTACTTCTAATGGTTTAGTCCTGTGTAACAACTACTGTCACTCCTGCCGATATAAAACGTGACGCTGACCTTTAGGTCACATTTGTAGCCTCGGTTTATGCCATTTTTACCAGAATGGTCCCAGTTTCAATCAGAAAGTTTTACACTTGAAGCCTGATTAAAGTACAGCTTTGTCTCCACATCCGTCACGTTGATATATTATCAGTAAAAACGTGCGAAGAAAACCTGACCTGCTAACGATCACGGCTAACTGCACCCATTTACGAATTCTACCAAAACTTGCTAATGTTGATGCTACGTGTCCAGTTAGCATAGCTCATGGGTCAAAGTTCAGCATTTATGAAGACAGGTATCAGGCTTTTATTCAGAGATGAACATTTAAATTGAACACTAAAACGAAGGAAAGAAGCATAACATTAGCTAATAATTCAGACATGATATCTTATTAGTGTGAGTTGGTATAAAGCATAATGTGACAGTTGGATAAATTAGCTTTCGTAGCGACACAACGAGAATTTCAGTTCAGACGTTCTTCTGGAAAATCGTTAATAAGCCAAGAAACTGAATGTGGTCGGATGGTTATTGCTTACTTTAGATGCAGTGTTGAAGTATCACCAGATCACAGCAGTTAGGTCACAACCAGCTAGTCGCCACAAAACCTGCTGCTTGTTCCGCCCAGGTTCCGCCTCCACTCGGGACACTTCCGGTTAGGTTTTTATTCAGAATAAAAGCCGAACCCACGCCGGGCTTTGCAGCTTCATATCCACGTATATCTGACAACTATGGAAAGGAACTGGAACGGGAAATTGATTATTTATTTATTCATTTATTTATTTATTTATTTTCGGTGGCATAATACAAAAAAATTATTTGGCATTTATATATTTTATCTTATATTTTAAGAGGGAGAGAAATGCTGAGTATGACAGAAAGACCCCTAGAACCACAGTCAAGCATGGACTGTTATGCTTTGGAGCTACTGAGGGTACAGGATGACTTCACCACATTGAGGGCCAGACGGGTCTTGCACCATAAAATCTTGGATGTGAACCTTCCTTCAGCCAGAACACGGGGTGGTGATGGGTCGTGGGCTTCCAGCATACCACTGAGTGAAAACACACTGCCAAGGCAACAAAGCCGTGACTAAAGAAGGAGAACATTAAGGGCATGGAGTGGGCTAGCCAGTCTCTAAACTTCAGTCCCATAGAAAACCAGTGGAAGCTTAAAACTAGAAAACAAACAAACTAGGTGATTAAGAGAATATCACGAAGTCTGGCCATTTAGCAGTGTTGGGGAGTAACGGAATACATGTACCGCCGTTACGTATTTAAAATACAAAATATGAGTAACTGTATTCCGTTACAGTTACGTTACCGTTTAAAAAGGTGGTATTCAGAATACAGTTACTTTGTTGAAATAAATGGATTACACTGCGGTACTTTCCTGTTTCATTTTGTCGCGGGTCAGGACTGTTTGGGTTTTGTTTGACAGCTACGTTCTGTTGTTCCAGGCGGCAGCGTTACGGTTGCCATGGTTACAGGGCGACGCTCCCTCTGTGACTGTGTGTTTCCTGGGTGAGAGAGCGCCTTTTCGTTGTTGTTGTTGTGCTAAGCTAACAGACAGAATGCTACAAGCATAGCTCTAAAGAATGTAGCATCATGGGCAGTGTAGTCCGTGTTGCAGGGAGAATGGACTGCCATACACGTTATGGGTCTGTGAGCGAGGAGGGAGAAAAAGGGGAGTGGAAAGGTACGAGCAGTCATCGAGGAAAAACGGGAGCTGGAAGCATGTAAATATAATAATAACCACTGCAGCCAAGAAGAGAGCCTGACGAGCCCAGTTGTAAGTAAGCTATTAAGACTCGACTGTACACTGTGTTCGTGTTTTCCTCCGAAAACAATAAGTTCCGTTGGAGCAGCCTTTCAACGCCTCTCTCTGTCTCTGCTAGCAAAGTTGACCCACACAACAAAGTAAAGCTATTTTTCGGCTATGAGCCGACAGGGACCCCGCCGTATTAGTCAGAGGTCCCTTTACTACAGTTCGGAGTCGCGGACCTTCAGTAATAGTAATAAATCACACAGCAATAGTACATTCACGTTGTTGTAAACAGCACGATAATATATTAAGTAATCCAAAGTATTCAGAATACGTTACTGTCATTGAGTAATACGTTAGAGAATACATTTTGGGGCATGTATTCTGTATTCTGTAATGGAATACATTTTAAAAGTAACCTTCCCAACACTGCCATTTAGTTAGTATTAGGCAAGAAGTTAACCAATGCTAATAAAAACTATCATGAGCAAACCAACATGAACCAAAAATGGGGAACAGCAAACCTAACGCAATAATGGATTTGTTATATTGTACACATTCATAAAGAGAATAATGACCAGCATGTTTCACTGCAGCCAGGGAACACAAGATAAGATAGATAAGAACACCTTTATTAATCCCACAGGTGGCAAATTTGTTTCGTTACAGCAAAAGTACAAAGTTATGTAGCAGAAATTAGAAAACACTGGAATGCAATAAAATAAAATACTATATACAATAGAATAAAATAGACAGGCCGTCCTACCTGAGAGTAGAACTCACAGTGGTGAGTCTGAGATTTACAGTCAGTGATGAACCTCAGAGAAGGATACACAGTATCAACCGGAGCAGAAGCATTCATATGTAGAATATCTCCATAAACCAGCACAGGTAAAATGTGCCCCCGAACAAAAAACGAATACAATGTAGCGCTGTGCAGACTGTATACTAAAAGATTAGCTGCTTTTATCAAAATGACCAGTAGATGGTGCTGCAGCAGCAGCTATGTTCTTACATGTGTCGTTTGCTTCGTGGCTCGTGTTAAACTAGCACATCTTTATAGTTTGTAGTTGCAGAACTACTTACTTATGCAACACTTTCCTTTCCAAACACACATGCAGGTGGTTACATATGGTTAAAATGATTCAAATGCAGTAAGTATGCACGTTTTTCATATAAATATATTCTGTAACTTAATTATTGTCTGTAGCCCACATGATTACACACTTTAGTTACATGAAACGTGTGTTTTGATGTTATGTGCTGTATAGCCTGTATAATAAATAAACATGTAGCCCAATAAGTATAAACTCCAGAAAGCTACACAACATGGGGCGCTTCATTTACAAACACAAGTCTAACTTAAGTTTCACTGTTTTTTGTTAGAAAACA